AAGTTTTTTCTCATTGGATTATTGTGTCTTGACAAGAAAGTTACTGTCAGTTTTTATTCCTTGTTAGGGCCATTTCTGCAGGATGCTTTCAGATGATGTAGGGAGCTGAAAGGAAATTGGTCTTTCCAAAAAGCCCAGTTTCCTTTTTAATCTTCAAAAATAGGAGTAATCATGAATTCCAACGAGTTCAGTCAAGGAATCTGGAGTTGGTACTCTCCGCAGTGCAGAGGGTCTGTTGTTCCTGAGCAAGCTTGTACATGGAGTTGTAGAGCGTGTGTTGTTCCTCGCCAGCGTGTTTCCTCAGCTGCATTTTGACAGCTCTGAAATGTGTGAACTGATTGAAGCTAGGTATTGCTTGGCTTTTGAAACAAATCAATGTCTCCATATTCATTTAAGTATTTATTATTCAAAAGTGTTATTTTAATATTTATTGCTACTTTCTGTGAATGCACAGCTCTTTTGGGTTCACTAGGGAGAAATTTGGAAGCATGTTTTTTTTTTTTCTGGATAAAAGTTTACAGACAAAGACAATCAGAAACATTTGTTCTCGTTATCATCACTCCTTTTACCAGGTGAGTACACTTCCTGTCTTACTTAACCTTCCTGCTGATGGAGACTAAATAGCTACATAGGAATTTCCTGGACTTGAATCAGAATCTATTTAGGCAACAGGACATGGAGGCAGAGTTTATACAGCAGTGTCCTCACTCACTGTCTTAGGTAATGCTGGAAGGGACTGTCTGCTTCAGTCTTGAATGCAGACTGTGTGACTTCTTGTTGGGTCTGTGTGTGCCTAACAAAGAAACACCTTGGAGCTTTTATCAGTTGCTTTGTCTCGTGTCATATCACAGTTTGCATGGGTTGATTGTGTTGATTTTATAATGAAAATAGAAGAAAGGAGATTCTCTTCCCCACAGTGAATAAACTTTTAATTGGTTCTTTACAGGAGAGAAATCTGTTTTAATGAGGAAATAGATTCTGTCAAATCAAGGAGAAATAACTGCTCACCAGTTGCTTGTCATTGTCTCTGGGCTCAGCAATGCTAAATCATGTTAACTAAGCCTCAGCAAGTCTGTGGTTGAGTGATCTCTACTTGAACAAAGATTTTGTGTGTCTGTGTTGTGTGTGTGTGTGTGTGTGTGTGTGTGTGAGAGAGAGAGAGAGAGAGAGAGAGAGAGAGAGAGAGAGAGAGAGAGATCTGTGTATCTATTAATGGAGTGTTGCCTTGAATGAATCACTAGGAAGCCATGGAGGGCTGGGAAGAAAGAAGTTTTATGCATCTCTGTTGTTTGGGTCCCACTTGGCATGAAAAGGAAGCTCAGGTCCAGCCCCTCATATTAGTGAACACCAGAGGATTTTCAAACAGCAGCCAACAGTTCCTCTCAGAAGGACCAGGTGAGATGAGATGGCTACCTGCAGAGGAAAGCGTGGGAAGATGGAGTTCCCAGTAGTTTACCCAAGTCTCTTGTTTTCTCGACACCGAAACAGCTGCTCCATGGCTAGGACTGCTACTAGCAGTGTGCACTTTAGATAATTGGGTGTTGGAGTGCTGCAGTCTCTGAGACAGAATGCTTGGGTAGGACCAGTGATCGTGATTTTACAAATTATGTGAAGCTCATTTCCCATTTGGCAATTATTTACTGATTTGCAGTGATTGACATATTTATTAATATTTGAACTAACCAACAATGGCACTTGAGACCTGAGGCTCAGAGCAGGCTCCAGTGGGCTGTGGCCAGGCTGGGCTACCTGGTGGGTGCAGAGTCCCTCTAGTGGCCATTTCTGTTGGTAATTGATGATACAGAACAGGTTCCCTTGGGCTTAAATTGACTGGAGACTTTGGGGTAAAAACTAATAAGCGTACATAAACAGATGGGGTGCTCTGTCCAGGAGAAGAGTCCGACTGGCATTTGTGGCAGTGTTTGAAATGTAAATGTATTCTTGTGTGTTTATGTAAATATTTAATACATGTTTCTCAAATGTCCTTTGAAGTGGGAGGGAATCGATCTTGGGATAATTTCAAATGGAATAGAGTATTTTGATATGTTCATCAAGAGGGTGATGTGTACATACCTATATTGTATATATGTGGTGACATGCATTGGCTTTTGTGCAGAAACAACCTGCTCTCTGTGCTGCTGTTGGACAGTCAGTGTTTTAATGTTTCTACAGTTTTCCTATTGCACGATTTCATATTCTGCCGACGGTGAGTGGCACCCATTCTTTGTAACCGTTTAGTGCTGTAAAGAAATATCCCAAGTGTCATTAGGATTGTCGCTGCCAGAACTGATATGCATGGATGGCACTTAAAATAAATATATTATGATAACTGTATTTGCAACCTGATGGTCTGTGTCATTTACTGTAGCTGAAGGAGCCAGATTGGAACCTGTGGCCAGGCCATGGAGCCCTTAGGCGTTTGAGACTGTGCCCATGCATTGCTACCTTAACATTAAGCTTAAAGGTGTTTAATCACTTTCCTGAGCCGACACTTGGGGAGAACTCTCCAGAGGAAAACTCAGAGGTGAGAGAATCACAGGTTCTGCCTTTAGTGAATATAGACTTGCCAGGACAAGGAGCAAGTAGCACCTTGCTTAGAGGCCACCTCCTTGGAAGTTTCCCTGGTAAGGAGGAGAATAGTGACATAGATATGCCCCTTCAGAGAAGGCATTGAAATCAGCCTCCAGTGGTCGTCCTCAGGCTAGCGTTTAGTCTCCTGACACTGGTGCACTGCTCAGGGCTGCATTGAATGCAGGTTCCGAGAGCCTCAGCAGTAAACCTGCGTGTGGACATGGAATCTCCTTTCACCCGAGAGAGCAGAGCTTCCTTCCTACCACTCTGGCAGTAGTCAGTCAAAGCTTCTGAGTTATCCTGCGCACACTGCAGGAGCACCAGTGTCTGCAGATAGGAGCAGGCTCAGGAAGGAAAGCTTGCCTCAGCTCTTACTCTAGTCATGGACTTAGGATAGTTCGTCTGGGGAGACTCCAAGGTTCTTTTCAATTGCACTGTTTGCCAAAACCAAGGATAGTGGCTGCTCACCTTTTTTGTGTGTGTGGGTGTGGGTGTGGGTGGGTGTTTATATACAGATCTCTTAGAGGGCAAGCCTTGGTTATGTTTCCATTGCCGGCAAGTTTTGGTCACCTAGTATTGTTCGGTGTGCAGCTAGGATATGCCTCACCTGCTCAGAGGAAGTGGAAATAGTCATTGTGCTGCATATGTGTTTCTCTCAGCTGTAACATGTAACTCTGAGGGCTGGTCTTAACATGTGACCTGTGCCAGCTGGGTATAGTGTCCTGGACAAACCATGGAGCTCAGTCAGTCTTTATAAATTTCACGCTGCTTAGGGCCTTAGAAAAGTGATTAATGCTACCATCATATTTTTTAATTTTTTTAAAATTTCCTATGTGTTTTGCCTACATATATGTGTGAAGTCATACAGATTTGGATCCCCTGGAATTGCAGTTACAGATAGTTGTAAGCTGTCACGTGGGTGCTAGGAATTGAACCCAGGTGCTCCGGAAGAGCTGCAGATGCTCTCAACCGCTGAGCCATCTCTCTACCCCTACCATCATATTTTGTTGACCATTCAGACCAGAAAAGGAAGCAGCTTGTTCCAAGTCCCACAGCTACTGAGGGAAAACTGAATGAAAGGATTGAGACTCGTTGATCTAGCAGCAGTTCGGATTTCCTTCCTGTAAGCAGGTGGGAGGGATGGCTCAAGAGGTAAAGCCACTTGCCCCCCAGGATTGATGGCTTGAATTCAGACCCCTCAGCTAGTGCTAGAAGGAGTTGTCCTCGGCCTGACTCCCCGTGTACACATTTTCTGACCTGATCTGCTGGAACCTGCAGCTGTGGTGGTGTCGTGCCCTGTGGTGTGAAGAGGGGGCAACTTCGGAGAAGTGAGGGACACCGCAACTGCAGCGTGCTCTGCAAGAGCACAGAGACTTAAATAGTCGGGCTGCATCAGAGGGGTCGTGTGTGTGAGCAGAGCATTTTACCATGAATGTGTGCATTGCCCTTGGAGTCAAGTCAGCGGCCTGTTCTGGAGCTTGGGGATGGACTGCAGCAACCAAGTACAACAGACAGCACGTTGGCTATCAGAGGCAATCCCTGCATTGGTTCTTCTGGAGTAGATTTAAGAGAGATTTTTTTTAACTCCTTCCTGTGCGCTGTCCCCCACCCCCGCATGTACCATCAACTGACAAATCAGTGTGGGAACAGCAATTGGCTGCATGCAAACCACCTTTCCTCTTGAGCAATGAACCTCAGGAGTACAGGATGGACAGCCGCTGTTTATCCTAAATACCTGGAACCAATCTTCATATTCACTCTTTGAAAACGATCCTTGGGCCTGACTGTGGTATCTCCACTGTGAGGTTGTGGTGCTGGCCCTTAATCCAGGTACTCAGGAGGCAGAGGCAAGAGGATCTCTGAGTTCAAGGCTAGTCTGGTCTGCACAGCTTGTTCAGGACAGCTAGGGCTATGTAGAGAGACTCTGTCTCAAAAGAAACTAATACAGCATTTGAAGCACAGAGCAATAACTAACTTACTGCTCAGGGTCAGAGCTGGTAATAGCAGCAGTAGAGCTGACTTCAAAGCTAGTCCAAGTAGCCTTGGACCTCTGTTTCTCATCAGGTTGCTGTCTGTCCTGGGTCTTCCTAACTGCCCAGAGTAGAATGAATAGCTTCAGAAAGGCAAGGCTGCAGAGACTTGGTGGCTAAAAATGTAGTCTCCTTTGGGGGACCCTAGTTTTTTTCCCTCTACCTGTGTCAGGCGGATTGAGTGGCTCACAACTACCTGTAATTTCAGCTCCAGGGGGGATCCAGTACCCTCATGCACAACAGACATATACACATAATTTTAAAATACTAAGTCTTTAAAATCACGGCACACACCTTTAATCCCAGCACTCAAGAGATCAGGGCAGGTGGGTCTCTGAGTTCAAGGCCAGCGTGGTCTACAGAGTTTGTTCCAGGACAACCAGGACTACACAGAGAAACCCTGTCTGGAAAAAAAAAAAAAAAAAATCATGTAAGCAAAGGCTGCAGGGAATGCCTGTGACCACCAGGGGGCGGTGCTGCTAGCCGCTTGCCTCTTTTCCTGATGGGTTCTTTCTACTCTTGAGCTGTGCTGCTCCTCTTCCGCCCCCAGAGCTTACAAAGGAAGAGGATCCAACCCTTCATGTCTGTCCCCTCCTCTCATGCAGTAACTGCTGGCTGGAGAAGCCTGAGCCCTTGCAGTTCTCAGCCTAAGCACCCTGTGGGGTTACTTCAGAGCTGCTTTGGCTGGACCATAAAGATGCTTACCACTCCCAGGGATGTCACCCCAAATCTCCCCTCCCCCCGGACCTGCTGATGAAAGGGGGTGCCACTCAGGCAGGTCCCACACCTTTCCCTCCCCAGCCCTGCCTGTGAGCCTGAGTGGGCCTGGATGGTGCCCCATGCACAGCTCTGTCAAGTGCATAATGATTATTGCCACCATTTGCTAGCTCCCTGCCCGGCATTTGACAGCCATTATCTGCCTCAGCACTCCCAGCCACCTCGTGAGGTCAGTGTCATTATCTGCCTTTTACTGCCTGGTATTGCCATTCAGAGAGGTGAAGTACCGTCCCAAAGGTCACTGCCAGTGTGTAGGGGAGGGCAGCCCAGATCTGCCTCATTCCGGTCTGTGTTTTCCACAGAGGCCTATTTCCTTTTCCACAGTGACGCCAGTGCCCTTGACCTCCTCATTCCCAGCCCACCCTACCCTAGAGCCTGCCCACATCCCTATTGAAGAATGTCACCCCTTTGCCTTCACCCCCCCCCATAGGTCAGAGGACTTCTTCCTGTCCCATGCCTGAGTGATGCTTAAGTGGCAGGAATGGTCCTATCTCATTCAAGCATAGGTGTGAGGCTGTGTGTGTTTGTGTGTGTGAGAGTGAGAGAGACAGACCCCATGATGGTTGAATGAATGTCACTGTGTACCCTGTGTGACTGCAACAGATTTTTTTTCCATTTTCATATGTGTGTGTGTGTGTGTGTGCGTTTGTGTGTATGGACATACAGATGGCTATGTGTTTACGTAGGTGTGCACACTTGTGGAGGCCCCTGACTTGAGGTCAGGTCAGTGAGACGGGTTCTCAAACCCAGAGCTCACTGATAATGGCTAGTTTTGCTAGCCAGCTTGCTTTGGGGATTCCATCTCCACCTTCCAAGACTGCCAACCCACCTAACATTATGTTGGTTCTGGAGATCCAAACACCAGTTCTTAGGGTTGCTCACAGATTGGAGGTAGAGAGACAGGTCAGAGGGGTATGGAGGCTCCTTGGATTCTCCTTAGGAGCATCTCTCTCTTCCTGGGTCCTGTATCCTAGGGAACACTCGTCTGGGATTGTGGTTCTTACCCAGGTGCTGTTGGAGTTGGGCCCTGCGAGTCTTCTGTAGATATTTTTTCTCGTCACCTGCCTGGCTCGTCTCTGTTGCTGCTGTCACGGGTAGTGTTTTGAGCTAGATGGTAGACGTATGCCTGCACGTGCCCAGGCTTCCCCATCCTAGATGACAGACGTATGCCTGCACGTGCCCAGGCTTCCCCATCCTAGATGGCAGACGTATGCCTGCACGTGCCCAGGCTTCCCCATCCTAGATGGCAGACGTATACCTGCACGTGCACGTGCCCAGGCTTCCTCATCCTAGCGGAAGCTGATTCCTTGTCATTTGGCCTGTAGTCCAGATCGCTGCAGGCCTCGGGGGCCCAGCACAACTGATGCTTAAGGCAATGGAGAGAATATGAGGTTGGAGTCAGATTCTAGGGTTCCTTGTGAGCAAGACACTACATTTCCTGAATCTCAGGATCTTCTGACATGGGAACACCTTACCTCAGAGTGCTGTTGAGAAGCCACATGGCACCTTCTTCCCTACCTCCCTCCGCTCTAGCCCCACACACCCTTGCCCATACTACTGAGGTGGGATATTCCAACTCACCGGATATTGCTCACCGGTTGCAACTCAACAGCTACTCTCAGCCCACTGCCAAAGTGTTTCTGTACACAGTGGCTCTGCCAAGGTCTGAAACTGTCTCACTGTCATGAGGCAAGTGCCCAAGCTCGGCGCTGTTTGAGCCCTGCTGTGCTTCAGCCGTGGCCAGCTCTCCTTCCCTGCACTCCCAGGTCTACACCTGTCACAGGCCACTTCAAATACCAACAGGGATACAGTAGACTGGCTTTGGAGCAGCCTCAGGCTTTCCCCTCATGCCTCTTAGCATGTCCCACAAGGAGTCCATGTCCTGTCTTGGCTTCAGTTTCTCTGAGTGAGTGAGAGAGAGAGAGAGAGAGAACGGCACTCCTGAGGGTGGACACTCTAGCTGAGTCTTCTTCCTGCCCTCCAGGGTGGGAGGTTGTCTCAGTGAGATGCCTCCAGGAGGGGAAGGAGAAGGAGGCAGCTGCTTTGTGTGAGCAGGAGCAGATGGTGAATGGGTGTCCATCATCTCATCCGGGCCAACCACAGGGGGATGACTCGGCTGGGCAAACAAGCAGACACACCCTCTCCACTCCCCAGCTGCCCCCTGAAGCATCAAGAGAAAGCACCCACCAACCTGGGACCTGGGGGAGGGGGAACTGGGCTTGGGCTCTGGCCAGAGCCTCCAAGCCCCACCAGCTGCCACTTCCTGTGTGACAGTGAGCACTCTCCGCTGCAACGTGGACATTGCTGACTCGGCGGGCTGCTTCTCTGTCCCCCTTGAAGGGGAAGTTTGTGTGAAGCCAGGGCCAGTCCAGGAGGCCCTGCGCTGCGCTGAGTAGAAGATTAGGTTTTTCTCTGGCATTTGAGAAAATTGGATTCAGTTCTGGAATTTATAGCTATATGACCACAGTTGTCCCCAAATCCACCTGGCAGTAAATCTGAAAAAATGTGCCTTCCCCTGGGCTTAAGTTGGCCAAAGCTTGTGTTTACACGTGTGCTGTTGGCCCTATGCCCTTCTGCAGTTCACAGTCAATACAGCTGTACCCAGCAGCCATGTGCGTGTGTACCCTCAGGAAGTCAGGGGTTCTTAATCTCACTTAGCTTCAGATCAGCACCCCACCCCTCAAAATGGGATTATGCAGTGATTTCTTAACTCATTTCCAAAGCTGTTAAAGAGGCTCGTAGCCACTGGAATTCTCAGGCAGTTACGGCTTCCTGTGTGTTCCCATGGCAACCAGAGATTGCTGTACCCTCTAAAACACATTTACAAGTTTTACAGGTTGGACTAAAATATGGACCACACCTTTCTCAAGGTCACACGTGTTCAGGCTGTTTCTGCCTTGGTTTAGGCCTGTGGGCAAACAGGCAGGAATCCCCAGAGGGCTAAGTCTCTAGTAGACCTGACCAATGGACACCAGGAAATCACAATGGCGTCACCCAGACACAGCCTTTAAGCCAGATCTGCTGGTCAGAACAATAGTGTTAGTCTCTGTGGGAAGCCCAGGATACCCCCACATCTGGCAGAACCCCTCCCAGCTTCCAGCACTGGGGGTAAGGACCGTTGTGTTGGGAGTAGGGGCAGTCTGACAGCCAGAGCTGCAGAGCTCTGCCTGGGGCTTGGCCCAGTCAGTCTCAAGAATTGTCAGCCACAGTTGTTAACTGCTATGGATATATCACTGCTTGGGGCAAGTCCTGCCACCTTCTGGATTCCCTCCAGACATGGTGGCATCCACTGAATTCCAGGCCTTTTCTGAGCATTGAGCATACAGCCAATGTTGCTGGCCTCTCACAGGCTTGCTTGGAGTGTCATGGGAAAGCCTCTAGGATGCAGACGAGTGGAAGTGGTCTTAACTCCGGGGCTCAGGGGCCCCTGGAAGTTGCTAGAAAACACTGGAATCTACAGCACAGAAGCTGAGACACTCAGGTCATGTGACTTTTAAAAGATGGAGCTGACACCAAATCTAGAGACAACCTAGCTCCAGGACCTGAGCTCTGGCTTCCGCTCTCCTGGTTAGTGCTTTGAGATCCTGGTTGAGCGGTATACACAGTGGGGGTGGGGGGTAGATCATGACCTTGAGTGCCAGCCAGGCAAGGCAGTCTGGCTTTTCTCCAAGGTTTGGGGCAGCAGCTGGTTGTCCCTACATGGTGAGGCAGTCAGGTCCAGGGGATACTGTGGCTTGGAAGGCCATGGAAGTGTGTTGGCTTGCCAAAAGAGGTGGTCTTGGAGTATGGGAATCCCAAACAAGAGTCATGAAGTGACAGAGCAAGGCAGGCAGGGTGCTGAGAACAAGTCTCTGGATTCAGGGTGAAAGCTTAGGGTTCTGGGATTACAGCCAAGGTCCAAGTTCTAGCAACTTCAATGCAGGCTGATGAGGTTGTATGTTCCCTGAAAAAGAGCTGGCCGCAGGTTGAACAGGGGCAGTAATGGGAAAGGGAAGAAGAGGTTTCCCGTTCTCAGAACAGAGTTGGTGGGCTTGGATAGGGCCAGACCCAAAGGGATCGGACCTCATAGCTACTTCCTCTTTCCCACAGTGTGGTACCGCTTCATCCGAACAGGCACGTGAAGCAGCTCCTGGGCAGGAGAGGCAGCAGGGGTGGAAGCCCCTTCCCTCCGCCCAATCACAGCCAGACCTTAGGAGGGAACACAAGAGCCACCTTGAGCCAGAAAAGGGTTCTTCTAACGCAGTCCCACCCTAAAACCAAATCAAATCCCAGCACAGTCTTGGGCTCCTACGTCATCCCAGGCCTAACCCAAATCATAAACCCAGCCCCACCTTACCTGCAACCTCACTGCAAACTCCACTCAAAGGAGTCCGAACCCAGCCCCGCAGCCTCCATGCCCCTTAGTCTCCATCGCAGACTGTCCCACCCAGGCACCCACATGCAGACCCAACATGCTCCATCCTCAAAGCCCAGCTCCAACTCTTAGCAGGAACTCCCAGCCCCTGACTGACTGCCTAGTCCTCGTGTTAGCCCAGCTCGCCCTGTAACCCCACCCCAGTGTACCCCTCTCTTTCTTCCCCACCACATCATTCCTCCCATTGGCAGCGACAGTGACCTCACCTCCAACCCAGCTCACTGGTACCCAGCAACTGCCTATCCGTGCTGAGCTGCACCCTTGTGGAGCACATGGATTACACGTGTACTTGTCTGCAGTTACACAGACACACTGTTTCCTGAAGTACACACCCACCTCCTCACATATATGTATAAACATAGACACACTTCAGGACAAATACACATACTTTAGTGTATGCACACATTCCTAGTAATATACACATCTCCATGTACACACAGACACCTCAGCACACACACATTCATCCTTAACATAGACTCATATACTCTTTAGTGTACATGTGCATATGCAATCATATACACACCTCGGTTATGTCATCCTTGGACATACATAGGTACATCCATCCGCATGCTCAGTGCCTACACACAAACACACACACTCTTCGGTGCACACACAAACACACCTATGCACAAATTCCTTTCAGAATACCTACATATATCCTTCGATACACACCTCAACATATGTACTCATACACATCTCAGTGCACACATACATACTCCTTCAGTGTGCACACACATAAACCTCAGTGTACATACATGACACTTCTCAGTGAATTCACGCATTTGCACGACTCCACAGTGATGGAGGTGCACAGAAGTCCAGTCTAGCTTAAGAGCATTTCAGGACCAAATGTTTCCTGCCCCTGCCTCTGGGTTAAATACTTTCTAGTCCCTTCTTCCCAGGCTCCTCTCCCATCCAGGGATGCTGTCCCTCACCCTGACTTTCTGGATATGCAGCCATTGTGGTGGAGCAACAGGAAGAAAAGGAGGCCCCAGGACAGCTTTCTCTAGAGTCCTGGGGCTCATACACCCTAGGACCTGGAGTGGGCACACACTACATTAGGCATGTTCGATCCTAAAGGTCAGATTGGAGGGGCCCAGCTTCGCATAGATCCATCTCAGCCACTGAGAGCAGGGTGGGGCAGGTCAGAGGGGCCATACCACCTGAGAACCTGCAGTAGCTGGGCTAGGCAGGTGGCCGTCAGAGGAGACAGTGGGAGCCAGGAGGAGCTGCTGCTATTCGGGTAACAGACACCTTCAGCAAGGCCTCCCTGTGTGCCAGGAACTGCATGGAACACCTAGGAAATCCGCATAGAATCCAGCATGAGGGCATCTGCCATCCGGGGAGGTATTCACATTGGTCTGCGTAAGACCCTGATGGGACAATGGGACTTGGAGAGCAGGCATCTGCCAGTGACTCTCACATCAAAAACAGGCAGGTGGTGGGATTTGAATGCATGCCTGAGAATGGCGGAGTTGAATCACAGAGACCAAGTTTGGAGTGTGTTCTGAGTCGTGTGTTCCCAATCTCCCCATTCTCCTTTCTTGGGGTTCACTTTTCTCATCCAGGCCCAGCTCACCTCTGACTCCTAGCAGCCCCTGTGGACAGAAATACCCCATCCTCAAGCCTCTGCATTGGCTTGAGCTCCTTGGGGAGACCTCCTGTCCCAAATGGGAGATGCCTCTTTCATACTCCCCACCCCTATGCTAATGGCCCTGTCTCTGTTGTCATTGTCGTCACAGTCACCTTTCTGGGCCTCTTTCTTCAAGGGCAGGGCTGGGTCTACAGGGCCTGGCCCAGAGTAAATGCAGGACCCAGCCCAGCTGTGGGTCAAAGTAGTGCCCAGGGAGGGGCTGGGGCTCTGTTGATCTCTTATCTCCCAGGCTCCCTTGACCTTATCTGATGGGGCTCAACAGGCAGCAGATGAGGCTGACAAGGCCCCAGGGTTACTGAGTAACCCCGGGCTCTTTAAAAGTCTCCCTGTTTACCCCGACACCCAGCATGGGCCAGTTCTCTGCACTGCACACTGCTACCATGAAGGCCTGTTTGCTCTCTTTGCTGTGCCTCCTGGGTGCCTTGGCTGTCCTGGTAGAGGGGGTCACTGTGCAGGTATGGCCGCATCCCTACTTGGTCTGACCCATTCTTGGAATCCTGAAATGAGGGAAGGGCTTCCTCTGGGACCCTCGAGTTCTACTAGCCATGCAATTTTCTCCTTCAAATGGGAAGGCTAAAAAATATGAAACACTTGGAGAGACAGTGGTAGAGCCTGGAATCTGGCTGCTCCCGCGTCCCGCTGAAACCCGACAGCACTGGGGAGGAGGGATTGTTGGTGGCATTTCACAGAACAGAAATGTGAGCTTCTCAACGGTTCCAAAACAGCCAAAGCTGGTGACTGGCAAGGGAGGTGACTGGACTCCGAGCTAGGCCTGGATCCCCCAGCTTACACTTGCCTGGAGGACCAGGCTTGGTCCCAGGCATTGATTCCGCCTCACGAAGACCTGGATGGTTGGGCATACCTATCAGTGATAGCAGACACAAGCTTGGCTGTCAGCAAACAGGGACCTGCTTGCTCAGGGAGACCTCTGGGGTCCTTGTATTGCTTGTGGAGGTCGTCTGGCCAGAGAAGACAGTCTGGGCTAGCTTGTTCACAAGTCAGTCACTGCGACCCTGGCTCGCCACAGCTGTTCCCCTATTCCTTACATGAATGCAGAGCTTCTCAGAGGTCTGACCTCGCGCTGTCCCACAGATCCTCCCCAGCGAGCCACCCAGGCTGGGGCCGCCTGCAGCCTGGCCTTATGCTTCTGGCTGTCTCTTTCAGGATGGGGACCTCTCCTTTCCTCTGGAGTCAGTCAAACAGCTTAAGGACCTCAAAGAGGAACCAAAGCCCCGGCTGGTGAGTCACAAGAGGTTGGCCGCCAGGGCTCCTCAGCCTGTGACACCATCGCTGTGCAGCCACCCTGCCTTTCCGGAAGCTCTGAAGCCCCTCTGCACGAAACCCAACGCTGAGGAGATCCTGCGGAGACTGAGTGAGTGGCCTCTTGGCTTGTGTGACTGGGGTGTTCTCTGATTGGTGGTGCTTGAGGAGGCCACGTGCTCTGATTGGTCAGTCCTAAGTGGTACCCGCTGAAGCCCCTTAGAAAGGAACCCTGCATCCCATCTTCTGATGGTAATAAGTCCATGTCCTTTCCGGGTAGAAGCTGCACTGATTGGCTGACTTCAGTAATTCATATGCCCCATTTGAGGCAGAAAGCCCAGAGGGTCAGAGGAGACAGGATTGCTGGGATTAATCTTGGTGGCTGCTGAGAGATGTCCAGACTCTAGTTGGAGAGGGAGGGGCTGTGAAGGAAGGGTGGCTATCTTTCACCAGGCGTCTTCTCTCTTGACCAGGGGCCATTGCTCAGGACCCAAACACATGTGAGATCTGTGCCTACGCTGCCTGCACCGGATGCTAGGATGACTTGTCTTCTCGGCCAGCGAGGAAGCCCCTGCTACCTTCTAGAAGCAAGGGCCTGACAAATTCCCGCCCCCAGCATCTCAGCCTACCCTGCCCATGCAGGGAGGAGGCTGAGGAGATAACTACTTGGGGAGTCCTACCTTCAGCCAATAAACCAGACTCCTGTACTCGGTGCGTTTTGCCTCCGTTCCTTCCCTCGTTGTTGGTCTAGCAGTTCTCCAGCGCTGTGGACACTCACCTGCCCTCAGAAAGTTCTGGTTCAGTGTGCCAAGTGGAAGGCCCGAGTGGCAGGGGACCACTTGAGTGGGTGAAATCTTGACTTTTCTCACATTCGCTGGTGTCACCAAGCCGCCAGGCCGTGTGTGAGGACAGGAACCTGTCAGAGCTGGTTTGTCCCATACAGGCATGCGACGGACCACTCAGGACCTGGCTCCCTCTGACCAGCCACGCTGCCTTCTGCCCTTCCCATGACCCCATTGGAAGGGGCACCTGCAGCTGTCTTCCTGCATGCCTAGTTAGGGGAGCAGCCAAGGCTCCAGGCTGTGTCCCTATGGCCTTGCTGATCCTCCCCAAGAAGAATGTTTATATGCCTTGTGGGAGTCTGTGCTTCTTGTCCCTCTAGGCACCCTGCTGGTGACTTCTGTGTCTGAGGAAGTTGTTCCTGTCCTCACTTGGGGTGAATTCTGCCCCCAGTGATGACTTTTGGAAGAATAATTGAGTGGGAGGAAAATCCAGGACTCTGGGTCCCGGTCTCTGGTCTTCCACATCCTGTGTGATGTTAGGAAAACCACATCCCTTCTCTGGGCTTCAATTTCCTTCTCTGTGACAATAGCTAACTCTAGGCTCCCAGTTCAGTCCTGATATAAACATAAGAGGAGTCCTTTAAATGGTTTTTAAAGAAAACAAACAGAGCAAAATCAAGGGTCCAGGCAGAGGTGACCATACACACCTCTTACAGGGGAGCCATGTAATTAGTTAGTAAGAATATGGGAGTCAGAGAAAGAGGCTGCCACTGGGGTTTGTTCTGGGAGAGTAGGAGGAGGAGAATTATCAGAGAGGGCTTCAGACAGACTTCGTCTGGAATTCAGTAGATACCATACCCTCTTCTTGCTAAGGCCAGGAAGCTTTGCAAGAAGGAGGTTCTTCCTTATCCCAGGGTCTACAGTGGGAGAGATGGATTTCAAAACCAGTATGAAGTAGGGAAGAAGGGAAACTTCCAGAAGGTAGGGATGGCGAGAAGACGTAGAGACACTGGGGTAGTTCTGTCTACACAATGTGGTGCATACATGGAAGGCAGGCAGAACAGAGCTTCACCCTGCCCCCTCTCTCTGAGGCTTGCTTTGCTTGTATGAAAATGGGGTTGGTGAGGGCTGCTGGGGGATTTGACAAACTGTATGGAGGGCAGAGTCATTTAATGCTTCAGTGTTGGAGCCAGATTCACCGAGTGTGGCTTTGGGTAGTAAGACTCAGTTTCTCTGTCCGCAAAATGGAGATCCTAAGAGCTGCTTTGACCCGCTATGTTGGGACCCACAATGACTCCCAGGATGCAGGAGGCAGAGGCAAAGGGTTAGGAACTCAATGTCCTCCCCAGCTCCAAGCCTGAAACCCTGCCTCACAAACAAAAGAGATGAAAGTTCTACTTTGTGGAGTTAAGTGGAGATTAAGCATAGTCACACTGAAAGAGCTCTTTTAAAAAATTAAGATTTATTTGATTTTTGATGTGTCTTGGTGTTTTGCCTCCATATATGTGTGTGAACTACATACATGCGTGATGCTCTTGGTGGTCAGATGAGAATGTTGATTCTTACACAGCAGTTATGGGTGACTGTGAGCCCCTACGTGTGTGCTGTGAACTGATCCCACGTCCTTTGCAGGAGCAACAAGTGCCCCTGACCCTGGGCCATCTCTCCAGCCCCCTGAAAGAGTTCCTAAAGCTCCAGCCGCCATTTCCCTTTTCTTTTAGATGTGTGTATGTGTGCACTCATCATGTGCATGTATGAGTGTCTGTGCACCACAAGAGTGTGGGTGAGCCACCATGTGGTGCTGGAGTCAAACCAGGTCCTCTAGAAGAGCAGCCAGAGCTCCATCACTCTTCCCCCTCTCCTACTTGTCCTCAGAAAGGTACTGAAACAATTGTCCAAGTAAGAAAAATTAGACAAGAAAACAGAAGTACAAACTGAGAAAGTAAGAGTATAATTATCTCTGTTTGCTGATGACGCAATCATATATAAAGCTCCAAGGAGCTCGCCTAAAAAGCCCCTTGTCACTCACAGACAATCCAGGAAAACTCCAGGATACAGAATTAATATATGAAAGTCAGTATGACATTTCTACACTAACATTAAGCTCCCCAGAACACAAAAGCAAGGAGATTCCTTTCACAATAGGAACGGTACTGACAACGGCAACTCTGAAACAATGGGAGACAAGAAGTGAAGGAACTGCCGGGCTGTGGTGCACACCTTTAATCCCAGCGCTCGGGAGGCAGAGGCAGGCAGATCTTTGTGAGTTCGAGGCCAGCCTGGTCTACAAGAGCTAGTTCCAGGACAGGCTCCAAAGCTACAGAGAAACCCTGTCTTGAAAAATAAAAATAAAAATAAAGAAAGAAAGAAAGAAAGAAGTGAAGGAACTAGATATTAAAAAGTAAAAAAGATGAATGAAATTGAAAGGCATCTTATTTGTTCATCGATTAGAAAAATAAAAGATTTTTTTAGACATTAGAATGTCCACAGTACCTGAGGTTCAATTCAATACAATCCTTATCAAAGTTTCAAAGATAATTTTTACAGAAATAGAAAAAAAATCTGAAAATTCCTATGAATTCATACAAGACTCAAATACTCAAAAATCTTTCTGTTGTTGTTGTTTTAATTTTTGAGGCAAGATTTTACGTAGCTAAGACTGGCTTAGAACTAATTATGCGGGTGAAGGTGACCTTGGCCTTAAGCTCCTCCTGCCAAGTGTGAGCTACCACGCCTGGTTTACGTGATGCTGGGTGTGAAGCCCAGCGCCCTGTGCAAACATCCATCAACTGAGCTGTGCTCCAATCCCAGTCAAGGCAACCTTGAGCGGAATGAGCAAAGCCAGGCTCATTACACGGGTAGTAGTTTAAGTAAGAAATGTTCCCTATAGTTTGGGGCATTTGAACACTCGGTCCCAGTAGGTGAGGGCATTGTTTGGAAAGATTTAAGAGGTGTGGCTTTGCTGGAGGACGCATGACACTGGGGGTGGGGGAGGGGGGCTTTGAGAACTTCCATCCTTGCCTATGATAGTTTCCCTTCTCTGGCTGTGGTGAGGGGCGTGAGCGCACAGCAACCTGCTCCAGTGCCATGCCCCTCACCTTCTGCCTCTCTTCCCCAGCATGAAAGACTCTTAACCCTCAGGAATTTTAAACTGAAAAACTTTCTTCTGTAAGGTGCTTTGGTCATGGTATTTTTGTCACAGTAAGAGAAATATAACTAATATGTATATTATCTTGTCTCAAAACCTACTACAAAGCTATAGTAGTCAAAACAGCATGGTACTGACAACAAACAAACAAACAAACAAAAAACCCAGGCAGAAGCCAAAGGAACACATACTACCAGGGAAGAAAAGTCATTGTGCGTTTACCTAACTATGAACCCTGTGAGATACTGGTGCCATGAATGTTAGGGGAATACCAACCCCTTTCTGATTGGATTTAAAGTCCACTCCATATGATGGAATGCAAGCCTCATACTGTTAACTGGACCAAAATTTCATTGCTGGCTAGGTCATAGGCCATAGGCAGATAACCGGATGCTATTTTTCTGCCAAGTGGAAACAGTAATAAACTGCCCTTGAAGGTCTTCTCTTTATCTCTGTAGATAAGTGCATCTCTCGGCTCTTGTCAGAGAACCTTCTCCTTTTCAGTAGCTGGTAATTAATACAGAGACCAATAGCCAGTCATTATGCAGAGAATAAGAAACTATAGAGTGCTCTAAATGGGACATCTTTCTCACAGCCCCCACTCCAAGGCCCGGGGATCGTCACAGAAGAGGAGCAGAAAGATTGTAAGGCCCGAAGGGAATAGCTATCTGTAGAAACAGTATTTTTTTTCAAATGCAAATGCAAGGTTTCACTTATTATGTATGGGCTAGCATGGGTCTCCTGCCTCACAGTCTGACACAGCAGATGGAGGGAGAAAGACCCCATCTACTATTGTAAGGGGTTTATAATGACAAAAACCACAAGACAGGCACAAGATTACAGTTTCAAAGTACAGGATTGCTTATCCTATATCACAATTGGTTAAAGGTTAGGTAAAGCTTAGCTGTTAGTTCCTGATAGGCTATTATTGTCCAAGGGGGATAGCAACAGGTCCCTGGTCACATCCTTTGGACATTTGCTGGTCCTTTACTAACTGCAGGGGCTTAGAAACAGTGTTTATCAGACAAGACAGTGAAGCTGCAGACATGAACTCGCAGCAGCTGGGACTACATACACAGGGAGAAGATCAAGCCAGCCAAAATCAGCAAGGACTGGGGAGGGCTTCATGAAGTCTCACCCATAGCTAAGGAGCTATTGGCAGCTGATGGCTACTGGGGAAGGGAGAGTCAGCTTTCTTCAGGGATGCTGCCCTTGAGAGCTTACTCATGGTCCGGTGACTACCTACAATTTAGTACATGTAAGCAACATTAAATAGACTCAGTGCGTACTTAACCAAAAACAGAGAAGTTGGTAGGAGGAGATGGAGAGATTACTCAGGGGTTAAGAACACTGACTTCAATTCCCAGTAACCACATGGTGGTTCACAACCATAGTGGGATCTGATGCCCTCTTCTGGTATAAAGTCAATAGAGCACTCATATACATAAAATAAATACATAAATCTTAAAAAGAGAAATCGGTAGGAAAATATGGACAGGGATAGAAGAAGACTAGGAGGAGAGGGGATGGGTATGGATTGGATCCAAACACAGTTTGCGCATATATGAATATTAAACAAAATATTAAAAAAGAAGCCACTGGAACAGACCAGGGAGCCCAGAAATAAATTCACAGTACCCAAATCATACCACGAGGGAATCATAGATTCTTCAATAGCTGGTGCTGGGGAAACTGGCTATCAGTAAAGACTGGAACTAGACTCTCACCACCCACAGATGCGAAACAGCTCCCAGACAAGACAAAGTGTAAGACTGGA